GCCAGAAGGACAGTGAGAGCAATTTTAGTTCCACGGGCATTCCAAGGAAAGCAAACATTATTCCAAATGACCTCTTTTTTCAGCAGGCCATGGAAGAGGATAGCAAAGCTTTAGACAACAAGAACCATGGGAATAAAGATGGTGAAATATCTGAAGCCATGGTACATCACCAGGACAGGTGAGGTGGCCAATAGAATGACAGCAGTGGCTATTGTTTGTTTGTTTGTCTGCAGAGGCCTAATTTAAGGTAAAGGTAAAGGTTCCACTCGCACATATGTACTAGTTGTTCCCGACTCTAGGGGGCGGTGCTCATGTCCGTTTAAAAGCTGAAGAGCCAGTGCTGTCCGAAGACGTCTCCATGGTCAGGTGGCTGGCATAACTCAATGCCAAAGGCGCATGGAACGTTGTTACCTTCCCACCAAAGGTGGTTCATATTTTTCTACTTGCATTTTTTTATGTGCTTTCAAACTGCTAGGTTGGCAGAAGTTGGGACAAGTAACGGGAACTCACTCCGTTACATGGCACTAGGGATTCGAACCACTGAAATGCCAACCTTTCGATCGACAAGCTCAGCGTCTTAGCCACTGAGTCACTGTGTCCCTATGAGGCCTAATTTACATAACAGCATAACATTTCAATGCCATTATTCATTACAGCAATCGAACCTGTTTTCCTGCAATCAGGTAGGCAGGTGTTGTAACAGTCCCCAAGTAACATCAATGTTCAATTCACCTCCTCCCCTCAAAGGAGTTCAAACAAACAAGCAAAAAAATACATTGAAAAAGGAAAATAAATATCGGTATATCCTTTAGCTGTGTAACCAATTAAAAACTCTTCTCTTTACACAAAAAAATACTATCCAGTACAATATTTTGGTACTGTAGCATTGTTTCCCTTGTGCATAAGTGAACAAACATGATAAAAATTGACTACCGTACATTCCAAAATATTTCAAAAGGAAGACAGTTCCATAATTTGGATACTACATTTAAGATATATTTTTTTTTCAGTTTCTCCCCACACAATTTTTGTCATAGACTAAGGTCCACGGTCCAATCAGAGTCCCATAAAAAAAATTGGACTAATGTCTTAGCCTGAAAGAGCTTAAAAGGTAACACCGTTTCATAGTCAATCCAGACCATATGTAAATTGGTTTTTTGGCATTTGCAATTCCCTAAAACTATTTTATCCCCACAACTTTTACAAAAGTTGATCTTTTGTATCTCTGCTTTTCCTTTTATTTTCTTTCTGTTCTACTGGAAAAACTGGATTCCAGCCCCCTAAATAATCATGGATGTTGTCTGTTATTATGCTTTTGCCTGTGAGTAATTTAAATATTAGTGGTGAGCATGTTACCAGCTATAAAACATGGGCGATGTAGGTTAGAAGTGAACTATATTGTGAGGTTTTCTAAAAAAACATTGTAATTTTTATGCAGGAATTCATTGAAACTTGAAAACAAGGTTGAGAAAGGCTAATGTCAGGATTCCAAGTAACACGTCCAACGAAAGAAGACTCCGAGGCTAGAAGTTCCTCAAAGTTCCTTTTTATTAGAGATGTCATATTGGCACGTCTGGGAAAACCTGAATCTGAAAGCTTCCAGGTTTTCCCCACCCAAAGGAAACTCCAAATCCCTGCCCAGCACCCACATGTCCATCACATGGTCCAATCAAGCACTGTCTCAACTGGAGATGCCTCCCAGCCACACCCCTCCAGGTTCAGGGCAAGATGTCCTTGACTCTATGAGAAAGGAATGTTATTATGACTTTATATCACCCATGCTCCACACAATCCCCACTCCCAATTTCCCACAGTAGGAAATGTGGCAGGCCTGAAGATCCAATGCAAAAGATGGCTTCCAGGCCTGACAGCTTATATAACTTCTCTTTCTTTTCTCTTTACCACTGCCTATCATCAACAGGGTCATCAACAGAAATACTCAATTAATCAAGTCTCCAGTACCCTTCCTCTTTGGGCAGAACATTTCCAAGGATAGCATGGATTCATTCAGCAAGCATTTTGAGAGCATCATGGAGTCCCATCGAGCCAAAGGAACTTCTTATACCAGCCTAGATTCCATAGATATCTTGTCTTCTCCCACTCCTATACAAAATGGAACTGTCTTCACCTTTGATCTTCCTACTCTTACTCCAGAAATTCAAGAGGAAATTCAAGACAGTGCTAAAACCATTGAGCAGAATTTTGCCCCTCTAGCTCTTCTGGATCCAGATTCTGGAACCAGTTCTGCCACAGATGTTCCTTGGACTGAACGGGAAGAGGATGCAAGACAAAAATGGAAAAGTAGCTTGCAGAGTCCCTGCCATTCAGAGGGCAGTTTAGGAATTCCTCTGGCCTCCATCATAAGGTGAGTGAATTCCAGGTAGTGAAAAGTGAAATATCTTGTGATTGTTTAAGTGATCATCTTTTTCTTTTGGATATGTGTTGTTGGAAAGAAATTGTAGTTATAGCCTCTACTTTGAAGAAAAACTGACAGATGTAGACAATATTTAAGTGCAGAGATATAAGTTGACAAGGTACTGATTGTCAAGGCCATAGTTTTCAGAGGTATAACGTGACTGCGAAAGCAAGGTTAAATGAAGAAAAATGGAGGTATATGAACTATAAAAATGCTGTAGCAAATGGTTAAGGATACTTTGGACTGCAAGACAAATAACTCAGATCAAAATGAGGTATCAGATTATAATGAGGTAAATTCGCTGCTTACTAAAAGCATCGATAATGAAACTGAAACTTAAATATGTTTGGAAGATAAAATAATGCAAAGGCAAGAATAGTTGGAGAAGTCTCTGATGTTTGACAAAAATTAAACACAATTTTAAAAAGCTAACATAAAGTAGGTGGTTAAACACTGATAAGAGCACCAAGATTTCAAGCACTCACTTAAGCACAGGGGTGAAATTCTCCCGGTTCGGACCGGATCGCCCAATCTGGTAGCGATGGAGGTGTGTGGTTTGGAGAACCGGTAGCAAAAATCCCTGTCCCCCGCCCCCCATGCCCAGCTGAGCCACACAATCATCAGAGGCTTTTTTTTTACTTTTAAAAGCATTTTTTCTACAATCTCTTGGGCCAAAAAAAATGCTTTTAAAAGTAAAAAAAAAAAAAAGCCTCTGATGATCGCGCGGCTCAGCTGCGATCGTCAAAGGCTTTTAAAAGAAAAAAACCCTTTTTTTCTTTTAAATGCCTCTGACAATCCCAGTTGAGTTGCCTGATCGGCAGAAGCTTTTTTAAAAAGCCTCTGCTGATCAGGCAACTCAGCTGGGATCGTCAGAGCCTTTTAAAAGCATTTTTTACAACCTCTTCGCCGAAGAGGTTGTAGAAAAAATGGTTTTAAAAGTAAAAAAAAAAAATGGCCACGCCCACCCAGTCAATGACCCCCCTCCCACCAAGCCACGCCCACAGAACCGGTAGTAACAAATTTTAGATTTCACCACTGCTTAAGCAGTTACTAACAGACTATCATAGTGAAATGATGTCAATCCAATCAGAAAAAAAATTAGAAGTAACAGAACAGCAGCAATTGCTGAACCAGTGCTTCTGCCTGCTTACTTTGCGTAATGGAGCATAACTTGGACCACAGATTGTGTCAGAGAGGCGGGGTAAATGAATGACATTGGATTTGGGTTTGGGAATATAATCTGAGGAAGATTTAAGGATTGATATATTCATGGAGTAGAAATATGAAAAATCCAGTTGTAATTATTTTTTTTATTTTTTATTTTTTAATTTGATTTATATGCCGCCCTTCTCCGAAGACTCAGGGTGGCTTACAATGTGTTAAGCAATAGCCTTTATACTTTTGTATATTTATACAAAGTCAGCTTATTGCCCCCACAAACTGGGTCCTCAATTTACCTACCTTAGAAAGGATGGAAGGCTGAGTCAACCTTGAGCCTGGTGAGATTCGAACTTACAGTAATTGCAGACAGCTGGTGTTAATCACAATGCTATTAGTCTGCTGAGCTACCAGGCCCGTTTGAGGTTTCAAGTCAAGAAATTGCTTGCCATTCTCTATACCTTTTCCCTCATAACTTATTTCTTTTTGTCAGTAGGTGGCACCTCTTATTAAATTTCTTTGCTGGGGCAAGGAGCAGATGAAGATTAAGACTTTAGGCGCTGCTGCAATTTAATTTTAGCTGATTGCACAATCTTGTTAAAAAACATGGCAGTCTGATCTGCAGAACCTCAAAACACAACTTGGCATGGAAACGTCTTGGTTACATAACAGAAAGATCAGAAATTAGTGAAAGTTACAGGAAGCAAATCTGAACCTGCTGTCCATAAAACATACGATAAGCATATCAAACAAAAATGCAATTTGGTTAAGCAGGAAGTTTTTAAGGATTCTAAGAAGGTTTAATGAGTTTGTCTTCAAAAGTTCAAATGGTTCAGAATGCTAATTCATGACTTGATTACAAAACAGGCTTAATAATGATATAACAAGAGGAACTTCTATGCTGCAATTTATTCTGCAAAATAAATGTCAAAAACCAGACATCCTAAAATCTATACACTTGCCTCCAGGATTGTTATTCTCTTATCTTATTTAGCATTGAACTCATAGATGCAAGCACTCTTTGGGAACCCTTGTTCCTATTTTCATCATGTTTTAACTATATCTGTATTTTTTCCTATAGTTTTCAATGGCTCTTACTTTTGGTTACAGAAAATTAAGCAAAGTGCATCTTCTCAATGGATATTTAGCCATTTAATTAATAAAATCTTGGAGGTTTTCTAATCTGACCCCCTGCTCGAATAAGAGATCCTATACCAGTGACGGTTAACCTTTTTGTCATGGCTTGCCAAAAGTGGGGGGAGCGCGGGGGTCGGGGGGGTGTCGCATGCGTGTGTACCCATACCCATAATGTCAGGTTTCGAGGTCGTCTCAAATAAATTGCATTTCAAACAAAGTCTTTGAAGAAAAGCTCCCATTTATTAAGCACGACATTCTAACTTCGACTCCATCGCAGCCAACACTGACTTCCAGACCCAAAACCCTCCCTTTCCATTCCCCACTCCCCTGTACTCATTGGCCATCTTCCAAGTCACTCTACCCCTAATCTACTGCTCCAGCTCAAAGGTATTTCCCCCCTCCCATCCCATCTCCTAGGGGATATTATCTCCAGGGAAAATAAGTAGGTGAAAAGTCAAACGTCCCTTTCCAGATGCCTCCGCTTCTCCTTCTTATGTCAGCAGTAGAGTAAATGCAGCTTGAAGTGCTGACATCCGGCCCATCCACCTTCATTTTTCCAGGGTGGCCTGTGTAAGACAAACAACAAGTTAAGTACCGTTACCCCGTCCGGGGGTGTGTGTCCCGCCCCCTCCCGCCTTGCCCGGGTGATGTGCATGGAACTTGGCTATAAGGCGGTCAGCTTGGATGTTTCTGCTTTTCACCCAGGAAGCCTCTGACAAGGGGTAACCCTTCCACTTGATTAAGTATTGGAGGTGACTCCTGTGCCACCTCGAATCGAGAATTCGTTGTACTTCAGAGTGAGTGTGGCCCCCAATGACCAGGGGCCCCGGGGGGTCATGTGGGACCGGCCTTAAAGTTCACCCCACCACAGGTTTCAGGAGGCTACTGTGGAAAACTGCATGTATCCTCCCTAGTAGTCGGGGCAGCTGCAGTTGTACTGTAACCTGAAGTGCTGACACATAATTCTATGCGCCCCCCCCATGTATGCACGTGACCCCCGCGTATGCGCGCGACCCCTGCACACCCCCTGCTTTTGGCACACGATGGCACGATGGGCCCATTTTTCGCCCTCCCCATGCTCCAGAGGCTTTCTTGGAGTCTGGGGAGGGCAAAAACAACCTTCCCCACCTACCCTGGAGGCCAGAAATGGCCTGTTTGCTGACTTCCGGTGGGATCAGAAGGCCCGTTTTTCACTCTCCCCAGGCTCCAGAGGATTTCTAGGAGCCTGGGGAGGGTGAAAATGGCCTTCCATGCCCCCTCCCCCCGAGGCCCTCCGGAGGCTGGAAATGGCCCATAAAGTTTAATTCTGTGCTTGGTGATGTTTAATCCTGTGTTTATTGATGGGATAATTTTCCCTATTCAGCTTTGTTTGGAAGGAAAAATGTTAATCCCTGTTCCTGAAAAGAAGCAGCTTCAGAAATCTGGCTAGTTCCTGTGTCTATTTGTTCTGGTTATTGGTTTAACAAGCAACAGCTGTGTTTGCTCCTTTGCTTCATTCTGGAGAGCTTAAATTACCTTTCTGCTAAAGCGTTTCACTTTATGAGCAAGATTTGGCTGCTGATAGTTACTGCATTTTAACTATTTTAATTCCTCAAGGTGTTCTGGCACCCTGCCTGATTTGTAACTCCAGCTTGCAGGTATTTCTAATCTAATGATTGGTATTTAGGGCAGCTTTTTGCAAGCAAAGAAGTTTTTTGTATTTTTGTACAGGTAATCCTTGATTTACAACAGTTCATTTAGTGACCAAAGTTACAATGGCACTGAAAAAAGTGACTTATGACCGTTGTTCACACTTACAACCATTGCAGCAAACTGTCATTAGGGCAAAAAAGCGATGTCGAGCTGGCAACACATCACTTGGCCATGCCCACCTGGTCACATGAAGCACCACAGTTGTGAAATGAGTGACACAGTTGTTAAGAATGCTGCAACTGGCATAAATGTCAACCAATCATAAGTGCGAGGATCGGTCAAAAGTGTGAGGACTGGTCAGAAATCATGCACATACTCAGACTACTCAGAGGGCTGAAAAAGTAATTTTTGACAGGTCCTCGTACTTTTGACCAGTCCTCACACTTACAACTGTCCTCACATTTTATGTTTTGCGTCATATCTTGTCACCATGGTGAAGAGAAGCACCACAGTTGTGAAATGAGTGACTCGGTTGTTAAGAATGCTGCAATGAGCATAAATGTGAGGACGGTCGTAAATGTGAGGACCATTCAGAAATCACTTTTTTCAGCCCCGAGTAGTCCCTATTCACATAGCCATGCCCACTCGGTCACACTGTTGTGGCTCCGTTACCTGAGCCTGTGTCATCGGCAGGAGAGGACTCCGAGAGTGAAGAAGAGGAGTTGGCAAGGCCTCCCTCTCCAGGACCCTCCTCTCTGGCAATGCCTTCGGTGTCCGCCGAAGGGCAAGAGATAGGTCTGGGGCCAAGCACGTCCACGCAGCCACAGATGGACAGTGATGAGGGTAATGAGTCTTGGCTGGATCCATGCCAGCGTCGCAGAGATAAGCGTGCGCAACAGAAGAAAAGGCGTGCCCGAGATTAGGCTGAGTCACTGGACCACACCCCACAGGATATAAAAGAGAGTGTAGTGGCCAGTCAAACCTTGTGATGAACAAAGCTGAAAGCTTCCACGCCATTCTGCATTGCCGGACTTTTGCTATAAAACTTTGCAGGATTATCTCTGGACTTGATTAACTCCGTAATTATTGAGCTGTTTCTTTTGATGTATCAGAAGTGGGGAGAAGTTATCTCTCCTCTTCGTAAATAATAAACTCTTGGCAGGCAGCCACTAGGTTGTTGTCAAGTTCCGTTATCATAAGGAAAAGGATTTTGCCGGCTGGTTTGGTCTTTAACTCTTGAACGTCTGTTGGTGTGTGTATGTGTGTGGTTGGGGACAGAACACACACAATCACCAAGCCACACCTACCCAGTCACATGACCACATGACCGCCCCCAAATAAGCCCCGCTCACAGACCGGTTGTTAAAAAATTTGAATCCCACCACTGGCTAAAGTGCTCTGGGACTTCAGAATTCAAACAGACATGGACCTGCCACATAAACTCCAGACTTAACAACTGTCAATGTGAAAGGCAGAAAAAGTCTGGCTGGTGGACATGGCAGTACCTGGAAATGGTGAAAAGAAGAGAAGGAACTGGAGACGATAACAAAATATAAAGACCTGCAAATAGAAATAGAACAACTGTGGCAAAGGCAAGCAAAGGCCGTACCAAGAGTAGTAGATGCCCTGGATGCAATCCCAAAACAATTGGAGCACCACTTGAATACCATCTGCATTAAGAAAATTCACCATCAGTCAATTACAAAAGACAGCTTTATTTGGAACAGCTTACATCCTGAGATGATATCTGTAACACCATCAAACATCCTCATCTGCCTATCCCAGGTCCTGGAGAAGGATTTGATAGGTGGACAAAAATACCAAATCCTGCCTGAACACTGAGCTGACTATGATGAACTATGATGAATAAGTAGTTGTATTTTTGAGGATTAATTGTATTATTGAAGAACTACAATGCTGTTTGTCAATCTAAAATGTTAAGAAACCACAAATCTGAATATTTAAGAAAGTAAAAGTGAGGTTTTGGCTTTCTTAGCAGAATATCTACATGTGCACAATTATTGGGAAACTATTCTTGTGAAGAATTATGATGCAACTAAATGAAAATGTCATTATTCTTTCATCCTTAAGACTTTTACTGGCTGCCACGCAGTGGAGTACTTCAATACATGTAAGGAGCACTGTCCTGCATAAAAATCATGGTCTTCTTGAAAGATGCAAATTTTTTTCCTGTACCGCTGCTTGAAGAAAGTGTCTTCTAAAAACTGGCAGTAGTTGTTGTTTTGGAGTCCATCTTCAACCCAAAAAGGTCCAACTAGCTCATCTTTAATAATACCAGCCCATACCAGTACCTCACTCAGGGGTGAAATGCTCCCCCTTTGGACCGGATCACCTGATCTGGTAGCGATGGAGGCGGGTGGTTCAGAGAACCGGTAGCAAAAATCCCTGCCCACCCCCCCCGCCATGCCCAGCTGAGCCGCGCGATCATCAGAGGCTTTTGATTTTATTTTTAAAAGCATTTTTTCTACAACCTCTTCGGCCAAAAAAATGCTTTTAAAAGTAAAAAAAAAGCCTCTGATGATCACGTGGCTCAGCTGGGATCGTGAGAGGCTTTTAAAAGCCTCTGAGGATCCCAGCTGAGTTGCCTAATTGGCAGCGGCTTTTTTTCTTTTAAAAGACTCTGACGATCAGGCAACTCAGCTGGGATCTTCAGAGACTTTTCAAATCATTTATTTTACCACCTCTTTAGCCAAAGAGATTGTAGAAAAAATGCTTTTAAAGTTTTTTTTAAAAAAAGTTGGCCACGCCCCCCCAGTCACATTACCCCGCCCCCCCACCCACGTCCACAGAACCCGTAGTAACAAATTTTAGATTTCACCACTGCCTCACCTCCGCCTTGCTGGCATCTGAGTCAAAGTGGAGCTCTGTGCCTATTACTGATCCAGCCACAGGCCCACCCATCTGGTCCGTCAAGAGTCACTCTCATCTCATCAGTCTATAAAATCTTTGAAAACTGTCTTCAGGTATTTCTTGGCCCAGTCTTGCCATTTCAGCTTATGTGTCTTGTTCAGTGATGGTCGGGTTTCGGCCCTCCTTACCTTGGCCATGTCTCTGAGCACTGAATATCTTGTACTTCTGGGCACTTCGGGTAGGTTGCAGTTCTGGAATATGACAGCACTGGAGGACAATGGGTTCCTGGTAGCTTCTCAAATCTTTGGCAGTTAATGTGAGTTTTTTTTCTCAACCTGTTTCTTTCCGACCCTGTTGCCTATTTGCAACAAAACGTTTGATGGTTCTGTGATTATACCCCAATATCTTAGCAATTTCAAGAGTGCTGCATCCCTCTGAAAGACTTTTTTTTACAATTTTTGACTTTTCAGAGTCAGTTAAATCTCTTTTTTGGCCCATTTTTCCTGAGGAAAAGAAGCTGCCTAATAATGATGCACACCTTGATATAGGGTGTTGATCGCCACACCCTCCCTCATTAAACCAATACACATCACCTGATATGCTTATATCTACTAAGCATTCAAGTTTATACAGCTTGGAGGTGGAAAATATGCATAAAAATGATGATATGGTCAAAATACTCACTTGCCTAATAATTGGGCACACAGTGTATAATTCATACAAAATGAAAATGCTAAAGTGCTAATTATAACCATTATAATTATATTATAAAACATGTTAAATGTTGTATGATTCACCAGACAAGAAATTTAGGTTGTAATACAATGTTAAGAGCAATGGAAAAATACGTGTATGAAATTATTGAAATTTACACTGATAATACCATAATCTGAAAGAGAATTTCTATAAAATGATGTACCGGTGTTATTTAACATCAGATAAACTTAACAAAGATGTATAAGGGTGTTTTGAATGTTTGTTGGAAATATTAGTGTAAGGAAGGTACTTCTTATGCAGTGGATATGTGATAAGATAAAGAAATTTGGGTACAGATTCATAATTT